ACGAATATTACTGTTAAACCATGGCTTATCTTTTGGCCTAATTAATGCAAAATACGACGGGATGCACTGATTAACTAAATCCATGAATTTTAATGTAAAAGTATTGCAAGCTTCATTTATATTTAAATTATTAATAAAAGTCCAGTCAGTATCTCTTATTAAATTATTCAGTTTAACAAAATCTGCATTTTTATAGTTCCAAATTTTCCTTTTAAATGGCTTATTTGAATCGAAATTAACCTTTAAATAAGCAAATGTTCCATAATGGTCACTTATTTCATTATCTGTTTCAAAAACTCCTGAATCAAAAACTTGAATATTGTTTGTTAATGCCATAGGGTCGAGAAGAGTTTGGATTATGGTTTACCCAGTCGGGTATTAATAAATTTTTTAAGTTATTTGTCCAAAAATAAAATCTTTAAATTTAGATTTTGGGATTTGAGCTGATTTCATTTACATCTCCCACTAAAAATAACTGTTGTTTGTTTCCAGACCATTTTTAAGCACGATTTAATTTGTCCCAAAAATAACTCTATATGAGGAGGTCTATATAAAGTACATAAAAAATAAGTTGAGTTTTATCTTTTTTTTCAATCAAAAAAGAATCAGGCTAAAAGTTTTCAAAAGGGGATAATCGTTTGGGGTTGAAAAAACGAAAAGTAAACAAGAAAACCCCCCCGAGCGGCACGGCTTGACTTATCTTTACGAAACATGATATCAAAACCTGATAATTGTAATTCTTTATCTTCAATATTAGAGTCTAATTTGGTCTGAGTAAGACATAACACATCAGTTTCTAAAAAAATTTCCTTAATATACTCAAATCTATGGCGTATGCTTCTAATGTTTTGGTGAATAATTGACAGACAATTTTCCTTGCTAAAAATAGGACCTGGGTTTGATTCTACATCTCCAGAAAGTTTTAAGATTTGTGCAAAATAACTTAAGTGAATAGAACATAATAGATAACACAATAGTATAAATGGACTGTAACATACCAAACTGTATTCTTTACCTTTTCCACTTAACAAAATTACTTTACGTTTTTGATCAGTAGATTTTTTGACCCCCGGATTATAATAATATATAACTATGAGAATCACAAAGTATATAAATGTAACTATACACTTAAGGCTAATACATGTTTTAAAAGCGTTAAGATAACACAGCTTAAAAAGAGCAAGCGTCGCTTGAGGCTGATATCCTCGAATTTCAAGATTTTTTGGGCTTGTGATGAAAAAACAGGCTTAAAAATGAAGTTATTAGTATAAGTAAAACAATTGTATGATTAATACAAAAACGGCTTATTTTACTGTATGAACAGACGGAGCGTTTCCGTATGAACTGCTGAATGTATTTGAATGACCCCACAGATGCTCGCCATGCCATAATATCATTACCCATTAGGATATATATAAAACATAAGTACATAAAAGACAAGCATAAACGGGGTCATTGAGTTAACATATAAGTAAACAGGGAATTTGGCGGTGAAATAACATAAAAACTATACATCATCATAATAATAATAAACAAAAACAAAAGAAAATAAAAGTTAACAAAGTTGAACATATTTGACAATATAGGGAATAGGGGACAGTAATCTTGAAAACTTTTTAAAACTGTATTTATCATACAAGTTCAGAATAACTTACAGTTATTAGGTGTACCCACTATTTACAGAATGTTTACATTTTGTTCAGAAAATGACGGTAACAAAACAAGCTTATAGTTGACCTATCTAAGACAGTTAAGCTTTTTTCATGTTAAGTATATTTAAACAAAAATATATACTGTTTTCTATATACAAATCGCTGAAGTAATAGAAAGGCTCTATCTATTAAATTTGAACTAATTCATTTTATTACTTATTAATATATTTAAGCCTTTTCTATTTAATTACTTTAATTTATCAGTTAATGGTTACTTAAATTAGTCTAAATATTTATGATTACATGTCTTACATATCAATAATACGTTTTATTTGATTGAACTTCAAGATGGAGAAATAACACAGATTACAAAGTAGAAATGTAAAATTTCAGAGTCATTTTTCATTGACGCGCCTATAGTATAACACTAACATTTATCGCGTCTTGACACTTTGTTTGTATAACGCAAATGACGTCACGTCAAAATATATGCACGGCCGTGCAATACCATTTTTACGGAGTCGCAAAATCGGCACGGGTATGTGATAAATTCCGATCTTACACTGAACTAAACAAATATCCTCTATATTTTTGAAAAAGTAAGCAGTCATTGCTTAAATCATGTGGTCAGGGACAAATGTTAATTAATGTCGCGGCGTATTCAATTAATTAAAGCAATTAAGTTCAATACGGTGTTTCTATAAACTCGATTGATTATAACATATAAAGAAAAACTTGAATTTAAAATAATGATAATTATTAAGTTAAGGTACATGTAACAACCATCCATTATCGGAGAAAACATTCAGTTTGACAAAGTCCGAAACATGCAATAATTTTAATATCGATATTTATGAACAGCCACGCGAGGAATAACAAACTATCAAATTGTGTTTAATGGCCATACCATACTATAAGGTATGGCCTCTATTTATTGTTTTAACCAACAATACTTAAACATGTGCAAAGAATAGTACATACATCAATATTATGCAAATTAATACAATATAGAAAATACACATGTAGGAATAATAATTAATCGAATTCTACTATAATAGTAAGAAATGTGAGGGTTTCGTAAGAAAAACGCAACCAACAATACTTAAACATATGCAAAGAATAGTGCATACATCAATATTATGCAAATTAATACAATATAGAAAATACACATGTAGAAATAATAATTAATCGAATTCTACTATAATAGTAAGAAATGCGAGGGGTTAATAAGACAAACGCCCCCTTACATAATTATTAACATTACAATTGTTACAGAAAGTACTTCATGTATATAAAAGTAAATATTGCCTTTCTTTCTAACAATCACTGAAATATGTGGGTTACACTAAGGCCCTTAAAATTTTGTTGTGGTGAAGGGGATGGGGGAGGGTAAAATTTTTTGCTTCCTCTTTCTACTCTTCTTAGTAATTGCTAACTGGTTCAAAACGATTTTATGTAGGGCTAGTATCCGTTCAGCCGTTTCTACGAAAGCTAAAACCCGTACCTCCCGTGGCGGCTCATAAAGTTCGCTGATGCTATTCGGCATAGCTTATATCTACATAATTATACTACTTATTTATACTATTGTCATCGCATTTTTGTAAAATCATTTTAATACATGCATGTATGTGATTATAATGTAATAAGATTAATAAGTTCTTCATCAAGATATATTTCAGTTGTACTAGCGTGTACACCTATACTGTAAGTGGGTGTAACACGTCATAATCTCGGTCTCGTCTGTCTCGCGAGAGTGATAGAACGCCAAAATGGCGGCGCCCATGAACTTATTTCTCACGTAAAAAATAGTGTCTTCAAACATGAATTTCTCAGTAATACGGCTGATTTCAACAGAAATACTGTCATGGTACCTCTTTTTAAATGATAAATATTTATATAAGACAGACATCAATCTATCCATTCCTATTCCTTTAAATCATTCATACGGAAGCACGATAAACGTCTTGAATTTTCATTAAATTACGCCATTTATGACATTGGAAAGCAGATTGTTTTCTGAAGTTATAAGCTAAAGAAAATACCGTCAAATAAGATTATATTAATCAGATCTAAAAAGTTCTAAATACAATTATTTTGAAGTGGTCCAGTGTTGCCGATACGTGTTGCTACGGACACTGATTACTCAGAGAATGATAGATATAATTTATAAAAAATCTCTTGAGAGAAAAGTTAAATCAACGTTTATTTAGTAATATGGCAAAGAATAATAGCGCTTTAATATTGAAATTCAACAAACTTCTGAATAACCCCTCCTAATGTAAGGTCTGTTTTCGCCCTCTCTGTAGAGGATGAGTAAGGCTATATATCTTAAGCTAAAGGAGCAGTCAGGACATTGATTTCAACATTTTTTTTATGATTGTGAAACACAGAAGGTCAAAAGTCACATTGACCTTTGTTGATTAAATTTTTGATGCATTATAATTAAGTATTGGCCCTTTGTATGTTAGGGTTTCAGACACATGTGTTGGTAAGGAATGACCGAGTATAATAATTATACTTAATTTTCTTTTCAGCTTATTTAAAATCAGCATAAAAACCTGACAAACAAACAGCCTGTTTGACATCTATCTCTTAAGCTAGCTTGAAAAAAAAATACGTTACTTTCTTCTTTTCTAGTATCTGGATTATACATTGCAAATTTACAACTGGATGTGTCCTTTGCCAAAAGCATTTGTCGTTATATTTAAATGTTGTTTTTTTCTGCAGGTAATGAAATTAGATGGAGGATATGTTTTAGGAAGATGAAATTAATACACAGGACTACTTTGTTATAACATGGAAACATGTAAGCTAGTTATGTCCTACATGACTTTCTGTTCTAGTTTTTAAAGTGAATCTCTACCATTTTATAGATTTTGATGTCATGTTGTCAAAGACACTGAGGTTCAACTCAATGTTATGAATAGATGGGTTTTTTAAGGCCCTCATTTATACAGTATTATAGATATTATAGATATTCGGTATTTTGTATGAATTTGACTTTATTCATTTTGGGGTTACCAACATATATATAACAATAGAATTTTATTTCATTCACGCACAGAAGTATAATAAAGCCAAAAATCTAATGATAATATTAAACTGGTATTATCACAATCAAAATGCAACATGACATCATTTGTGTCATTCAAACATTGTTAGTAAATATTAGCACTATATGTGCCTACATGAAAAGAATGACACTTTTTTACTGCATACCATTCTTATTTTGGGTATAGGATAAAATGTTTTGTATGTGTTTGTTTTACTTAATTTATTGAACACGTAATTTGACACAATAATATTTTGTCCGCCAAATATTAGCATAGTATGACTATTTTTTTTTTTCGTGTTTTTCTTTCTTTTAAAATAAATTTGATGTTTTTTCATCACTCTTGAAATATCACACAATTAATAATAATTGAACCAGATGCATTCTAAAATGAGAATTCAAATGGAAATGATCACCCGTAATGAAATAAAATATGTCTCTTTGTCACAATTTTGAGAGAAGGGCATATTTGATAGATATGTTTATTTTTCTTTTGTTAATCAATTGGTATACTGATTAGATATCATAAACTTCAATGATGTCAGCTTTTTCTCTGCTTATATACATCTTAGACATTTGTTGGTTACAACATATTGACTCAATTCTATTTTTCTCCGAATCAGATGTTATTATCTCTCCTATCAACTCACCATCAGATGTAAACTCTAAAGCATAAGGAGAACCAAATCCACACAGCAGCACATTACCTGCTTCAGTAAGATTACAAAATTTACCCCCAAGTAATTGTTCATTATTAAATGATGTAATAACCTGAACATTTTTGTCCAGTACTATCAGTCCATGACCATAATCAGCAACATAAATCCTTGCAGCATCCCTACTAACAGCTAGACTCTGTATGTCAGAGAACAACATATGTCCTGAAAAATCTTCTCTAAACTGATTAAGCTTCCTACCAGACAATGAATACATATATACAGTGTAACGATCTGAAATATATAAATTATTGTTTGCATATCCAATACTTTTACACTCAAAATTAACGTTTATCTTGTTTCTTGTTTTCATTATTCTTTCTAGAGAAATTAAATGAACTTTATTTTGTAATGGAAGAGTTACCGCTACCTGTGTGTTATTAATCATACACACGTGATAAGGCACTCCACGTAGATCACAATAGTCAGTGACAGTATAGTCATGACTGTGTACCCGTTTAAGCTTGCTGTTCTCCTTATCAACTAGAATAATTGTACCATCTTTCATACAGCAGGCGCTGGTGATATTACAATTTTGTTTATCAGACTTAACTTTTATGTTATATGAATTTTTCCCTTTTACCTGTATTAAATTGTCAACAATCTCTGTTAACGTGCCCAGGGTTTTCTTTTGTTTTAGCTGCGTAAAAAATGTTGTATCAGGATCATACTGTATGACTTCTACTGTACTATTCCTTTTAACATGCTCCATATATTTGTTGGCAATATTTGCAGCATCTTCTCCCATCTTCATGGAAACAAACGCTTCAGATTGATTTGTTTTTGTAGATGCTAATTTTACAATAGCTGATGTAACCCTGGACTTATTTTCTTGTAGCATTTTTTGATAATCTTCAATCTTGTCTTCAAGACTTTTAACTTTATTTTCTATATCAAGTATAGAACGTTTTTCTAGCTTGTCAAGTTGGGCATTGATTTCTTGGCGGAATTTTCTTATATCAGCCAATATTTCAGCTTTCCTCATTAACAACCTTTGTTTGTCTTGTTTAAATCTATCAGCTTGTTTTGAAAGGGTGGTAGCTAATTCTTTCAGTTTTGTTTGAATTTCTCTGGATGAAACTTGGTGTGCCTTGTTTTGGATAAATTCTGGTATGTAGAATATATCCTTGCATGATCTGAAAAATGAATTCGTACAGTTTATATACACAAGCATATTAATAGAAAGAACATAATTTTATAGTATTAGCGTTTTTATGATTATTTTTATGTTAAGATCCTATCAGACAACTATCTTTATCTCTTTATTTAAAAGTTATATGGAATCAGACAATTACTATGTAGAAGAAAAAGAAGAACTTTTATTTGCACTAAAGCCCTTAAAAGAGCCATTGACAAAGCATCAATATATATGCATACAAAAAAATAGAAACATGGCAATACGTGACAAGAAGTCGAGATGGCATGTGTATTCCCGGGAAATAATTCTTTGGTAAATGGGAAAGTAGCTCATACACTTTAAGCTGATTCACTGTAAGTGTCATATAAAATTACCAAACCAAAGAGCTTCAGGGAACAATATTAAACGAAGATTGGTTTCACATGACATCTCGCTTGGGAGAGGCAGAATAATGTAAATATTACAATAAGACAAACACATATTAATTTCTATATAAAAAAAATATGGTTAACGAGGTTGGATGCTCCTAGATAATATGTTGATATCATTTAAGGATTTTGCTCTTTCTTGGAAAGGGACGCTATCCACAGATGACACATAGTGCTAAATATGATACATTCACCAACACATAAATACCCCATCGAAAAACGAAAGCGAAATTATAGAGCACATGATGGTGATCAGTACATAAAAAGGGGATAGTAAACAGAAAGATTGGGAGTCTCCATCAACGGAACCATCTATGACTAGGTTATCATCAAAGTACTCAATATTAAGCATACAACATCAAGCATTTTGTTTGACTAAAAAGATTAAAGTAGTCTTATAAAATGATATAGATATATCTATATATATATATTTAATCGAGTCACCGTTTTCATTTTCTGAGTTAACCCTTGACAGAAATGGTAAATATCAAAAGCTGGTTATAATATTTATAATGTAAAGCAATTTATTTTTACAAAATATTTTGTCTTAGTAATCATTAACCTAGCATTATATATATCTCTACATGTTAAATTGGCAAATCTAAAGTGAATCGATCTGCTGCTGACGTTTAATGAAAGCATGATACGTGTCAATACTTAAATTACGAATTTCTGTTACATTTTCTGTATTCATTAAAAGAGCAATAAATTGAAAATTATGAATTTCTGTTACATTTTCTGTATTCATTAAAAGAGCAATAAATTGAAAATTATTAGGGTGATTGCATTTATTCCAATAGTATCTCTTGATATATTTTGTACGAAGTTCTTTAAACATATAACATACAAGTACAAATGGGATTCACTTTTAATTTTTACTATAAACAAATTGTTCAAAAAAGGGAACACATTTGGTTTTTTCCCCTTCCAATTCTACAATAAATTTTGAAATACAGCGTTAACGGCTAAAGCTTTCTGTATTACGGGTATTTAACATCTAACTTTTGCTAACATTAAAATAACTATTGTTCTAAATAAAGGGGTCTTGTCTGTCTTCTAATCGTTTTTTAAAACAATCAGCCATTAATATCTTTTATCCTTGTTTAAAATCATAAAAAAAGTTCTTTTAAATTTTCCAAAACCCTTGGGTTTTAAACCCAAAATTTTAAAAACCTAGTTTTTTTATAAGCTTTAAAATTATCACCCAGTTATTACATTTGTTTCGTTAACTGCTATTCTTTAAAATCAAAAAAATATTTCTAAATACTTTATTTGGGCTGTAAATTTTTAAATTTAAACCAATATTTTATAACACTAAACATTTTATATGATATCAATTTTGTCTACCAAGCTCGGCATATACAAAATCATTTTGGGTAGATGCTTTAACACTTAACAATCTTTTACAAAAACTTAAATAATTATGTTCTTTCTACATGTGGGGCTTTATAAAAAAAACCAATACCTCTGAGGAATACATTAAAATTGGCATAATTAACTTATCAAATAAATCAAGTGTATGTTTGGGTAATAAATCTGTAAATTTATATAAATATTCATTCATTTTGAAAATAGCTTTTAAAGCTTGTCCAGCTAACAACTTATCATGTTGACTATATGAACCACCTGACGTAAATAAAACACCTAAATATATAAAACGTGATACAATTTCTAATTCCTGATCATTATACAAGAAACGTAAATTCTGAGGTAATCTACCTGCTTTTCTGAACACCATGACTTTAGTTTTTCTCGTATTTACTGTTAATTTCCATCTATTACAATATTCTAATAAATCAGTTAGAGATGTTGCAATTCATCTGCACTTTTCGCAAAAAGAATAATATCATCGGCGTATAACAACAGACCTATCTTTATCATTCCAACATCAATACCTTCTATACCTCTATCATTTAAAGTTTGCTCCAAATCATTTAAATACATGCTAAAAAGAAAAGGTGAGAGACTTTCACCTTGACGAACGCCAAAATTACAGTAAAACGCATCACTTAACTCATTATTACATTTCATTTGCGACTTAACATTGCTATACATTGACATTATAACATTTAATATATTTCCACTTACACCACATTGCAAAAGTTTATACCACAATATATCCCTAACAACAAAATCGAAAGCTTTTTGAAAATCTATAAATGCACAGTACAAATATTCCTTATTATTTAAACAATGGTTAATTAACCCGTTAAGAACAAAAACATTTTCAGTTGTACCCATACCTTATCTAAAACCTGCCTGAGCCTCAACATATATAGAATAGATTTCAGCCCAACTATCGAGTCTTTTGTTCAAAATTCGACTAAACAATTTGCCAAATGTACTCAGTAATGTGATTTCCACGGTAATTTCCTGGTTCATTTATATCACCAGACTTATGGATCGGAACAACAAAACCCTGACTCCATTGCTCAGGAAAATATATAAATACGTAATTTTACCTGTGATCAATTGCCATACATGTAGAACAGCCGACCTTATCGTGGTTCTAACAGTACATATCAATGTGTTTATGACTGTGTCTGTCACATCTCTCTGTTGGTGCCCTCGGCAGACCTTTGCTGGTTCCTGGTCTAACTTGAGACTTATCCAACACCTTGTGACCAGCACATAAAGGCACTTTACTGTGGACTTTGACACAACGAACACAGAAATAATCTTTACAATCTACACAGTATTTTTCACCTTCAGTGTTCGAGCCTTGATTTCTACACATTGAACATAATATATCAAATGTTTCATCCGAAAGAAAATCCGTATTAATTTGTCCACCTGTAGCCATTTTTCTTTTTTCTACTAGGTATATTAGTTGATTTGTTCACATTTCAAAATCAATATCAATTGTCCCCGTTGCTTCCAATTAAACACTCGTTAACATTATCACTATGATAAAGCTCCAAGTACTTATACATTGTATTCCTATAAAAGTGACAATCATTTATATATATTTTTCATTCCTATATATCCTCTCCCATTGTTTAATAATGTCGAAGTAATTTGATTCTCTTTATGTTTAACTTATCAATGGTGTCCTTATACTTCTTTGCATAAAGTCTAACTTTATCTGGTGAAATATCATCCAAACTATATTGTTCAACTTAAAGATATATAAAGTGTTTACATATCGGGCTGGTTTAACATTTTTGCTATCAAAAAATATTTTTACCCTTTTAAAAATCAGAAACAAAAAAAGTTATATCAATGGCTTTTTTTGTGAAAAAATTTGGGGAAATTATCTTGACAAAAAAAATGACTAAAAATAATGTTAGTTTTATTATTTTTGTATAAGTAGGAAGGGGATTAAAAAAAGAGCTGGACAATATTATCAGAATTTTTTTTATGGGCTTTTACTAAATTTAATTTTGAGTAAAGTTTCCATAAATAAAAACTTTCATATCAGTTTTGGACTTTTTTCATTTTCAAGTAAGTCAACCATAACAATATTTTATCCAAAAATAGAATTTACCCCTTTTTTGGTCGTCTGCAAAACAAAGTTATTGATTTACCCCCGAATAGCCCCAATTATTTAAACGGGGCTTCGAAGTGTTGTTTTTTCTAGTCGTAAATCCTCTCAGGTAACTTTGAACAGAAGGCAAAACTTCAAAAATATACACCGCTGTAATCGTGAAGTTAGCCAGACAGCCGGAGCAGCCGGAGCAGCTGGAACAAATTTTTGTCTCGTCCGGCTGTTCTGGCTACACAGGCTAGCCGGAATCCGGTTCCGGCTGAATCGGCTAGTCAGAGAAGATACAGTAAAACCTGTGCAAAAGACAATTGGTTAATTCCATAAGGTAGTGTCAAATTACTCTTGCTTTTCCGGCTGGCATGAATAACCAAAATGAAGGCTATTTAAGATGAAAAAATAATCCAGGAACAAATTTATGAATATTTGTCGTGCAAAGTGTGACCGTGGGTCCGCTGGCAAAGGTATGTCCGTCGGGAACGCTCTAGTATTTTGCCGACATGAAGCCGAAGATCGTGCTATAAATGGTCATTTCAACTCATATCTCGCCACTTCCGACTGGCCTCTTTGAGGCTCAGTCTCAATTGCACAGAACCCCCATATGGGTGGATGGTTAGGAGTCTGACCGTGTGCCCACTGGCATAGGTGTTTCCGTCGGGATACATTGTTATTTTGCCGACGTTGAGCCGTTAATCGTACTATACATGGTAATTTCGACTCATATCTGGCCAGTTCCGGCTGGCCTCTGTGAGACTCAGCCTCAATTGCGCAGAACCCCATATGGTGGGAAGGTAAGGAAGTATAACCATGTGTCCGCTGGCATAGGTGTGTCCGTCGGGAATACTTTGGTATTTTGCCGACGTTGAGCCATAAAACGTACTATAAATGGTCGTTTCATCTATATCTCGCCTATTCCGACTGGCCCCTGTGAGGTCCAGCCCCAATTTCGCAGAATTCCATATATTTGGATGGTTAGGGGGACCGTGTGTCCGCTGGTATATTTGTGTCTGCCAGAAATACTCTGGTATTTTGCTTCCGTTAAGCCAAATATCAAAATATAAATGATCATTTTAGCTCATATTTTGCCATTCCTTAAATGTCCCCTGTGATACCCAGAATTAATTCCACAGAATTCCATATAGTGGGGTGGCTATTGGGCGACCGTGTGTTCGCGGGTATAGGTGTGTCCGTCGGGAATACTCTGGTATTTTGCCGACGTTGAGCCGAAAATCGTACAATACATTGTCATTTCAGCTCATATCTTGCCAATTCCGGCTGACCACTGTGAGGCTGGTATATGTGTGTCCTTTGGGAATATTTTCCCGACGTTAAGCCAAAAATCGAAATGTAAATGGTCATTTTAGCTCATATCTCACCTTTTCTATATGTTGGGATTCTTAGGGGGTCAAACAATGTGTTCGCTGGTACAGGTTGTCTGTTGGAAAAACACTGGCATTCTGCCGACTTTAAGCCAAAAATGGAATGAATAATGAATGGTAATTTCAGCTCATATCTCACCATTTCTGGCTGGACGCAAAAATGCAAAATGCCCATTTGGGAATATTCTGGTTTTCTGTAAATAATAAGACGATAAAAAGTGTCATATCTGCTCTAAGCTCGCTATTTTTAGCTTTCTCTTTTGATCCCAAGGTTCAGTTCAACAGAAACCCATAAACTTATATTCTTAGGTACGAAAGACCAGTGAGGACATTTCAACTACTTGAATTCCCGATTATATCTTCGTGAATTCACAAATTCAACTTCGTGAGTTAACGTTTTCAACATACGGAAATTTTAACTTCAGGAATTCACAACTTCAACTTCATGAATTCACGATTTCAACTGCACGAGTTCATGATTTCAACTTTCAAATCACGAATTTACGATTTTAACTTCATGAATTCACAACTTCAGCTTCATGAATTCACGATTTCAACTGCACGAGTTCACGATTTTAACTTCTCTAATTCACGATTTCAACAACATGAATTCACGGTTTCAACTTCACAAATTTTAGATAGTGGTATGTTAAAAGCCATTTACATGAAAGAAGTATATGGCCAAATAATTATCAGCAGTCAATGCCCAATCATTTTTATACAATTATATAGCATGCTGAACTTATTTTTTGTGGTAAATCATATTTTCTGTTTTTCACTTTCAAGATATCCAACTAAAACTGTAGATGGGAAATGTCTGAAAATACAAAGGATTGTTATTTATTAGATTCGGGAGGGAGGGAGGAAAGAAACAGGGGGTGGTTGACATTCAACAGTCAGTATATTATGTATCAATTATAACGCGTCTTGCTGTAAGATGAAGTTACAAACTTTTAAAATGAAATCAAATACATGTACGATGTTATTCTAATTATTTTAAGCTGATCATGCTAACCTTCCCTGTTAAGCTTTTTACCTTTAATTTATTTCTAATTTTCTTTTTTTTAATATGATCAATAAAAATCATTGCAGGCATATATTAAACGTGTACTTTGTTTTTTGTGTTATTTTTCAATAACCATTTTTCAATTGATATTTTATAAATTTATGTGGTTTGTATGAATTTCGTCGAAGTGAAGAGCATCATGAACAAACTAAAAAGGAAAAATCAAGAATACAAAATCGATTTTTCAGAATTAAGAAGAATTCAAGGGATGTTATATAAAGGACAGAAAAGGGGTGGGAGGAGATAAACTAAGGTAAAAACCCTTAATTAAGACAAACATCGTGACTGGACCAAAGTGGTCGTCATTCAGGATTGGTCTCAATTGTGAATATTCTTATCATTGCTTAAATACTTTATGACCATGACTTTATAACCTACAAATACCATATTAAAGTATGTTATGATATTTAATCTGATTAAAGCAAAACAAATTTCTGAAGAAAAGCTTATACAGTAAAAACCCTCCATTAAGACCACCATCGGGACTGGACCAAAGTGGTCTTAATTGCGGGTGGTCTTAATTGTGAACATTCTCATAATTTCTTACACACTTTAAGACAATGGTCTATTTTAGTCATTTTGTTTGAATAAACAATATGTATCCTAACCTGCAAATACAATATAAAAGTTAATTTCGTTAAGTTTTTAATGTTACATCTGATGGGAAGAAAACATATTTCTGAAGAAATTAACTATCAAATTCTATTTAGCCTGATTTCAGTATTAATTATTATATGACGTTCATAATTCATCCATCAAATAAAAAAAATTCTTCGCAAAATCGATATGCTTAAAGCACCAATAAACCACTTAGAATTTACTTCATACAATATCCCTCAAAATATAAGGTGTTTTTGACACCTTGTGAAATCAAGTGTCATGCCCAAAAACATTCAAGCAAATGCTTACAACATAACAACAAATTTAAAGTCTAGGTGGGTGTTGACTTTAAATCAGTGGTCTCAATAGTGGGGTAAAAATAAAACAACAAAAAACCCCAAAGAATTGGGACTTAATTTGGTGGTCTTGAAAATGGATAAGCGGTCTTAATGCTGGATCATGTAACCATTGACATAAAGAACAGAAAATTCCGTTCTTATAAAAATGGTCTTAATAGCGGGTTAGTCTTGATTCCGGGGTGGTCTTAAGTAGAGATTCTACTGTATAAAATTCCATTTGGTCTGATTTAAATATTAATTATAATATGATGTGCATAATTCAACTATCATATAAGAAATGAATTCTTTACAAAATAAATGTGCCGAAAGCAAAATTAAACAGCATTGATGCAACAAAATTACTTTTTCACCATATTTCATATAAGAACCCAATAACAGTTGTTAACACCGTCATGCCAAGCATTCAAACAGAAAATAACAACAAATTTGTGATTTATTACAGGTAGGTGTTGAGTTTAACATCAGTGGTCTCAATAGTGGGTTTAAAAAAAGATTAAAATAAGGAATTTGGGACTGAATATGGTGGTTTTAAAAGTGGACAAGCAGGGTGGTCTTAATTCTGAATCATGTAACCACTGACATAAAGAACAGAAAATACCGCTCTTATATTAAATTGTCTAAATAGCGAGGTGGTCTTAATTCCGGGATGGTCTTAAGAACAGAGAGTCTACTGTATGAAGTAGAATTTGCTTTGGATATCCGGGCAGTTTGAACAAGGACAATATAAATATAAAAATATTCTAAAAAGTTTCCTGCTTTCATAAAACATTGTTCTATTTGATTCATCGTTATATAATTTAATGTATGGGCATGGTGAATGCTCTTTTCAATCATGAACAACTGCGTAGCTCAGCTTTGATATATCTAATTTACAAAGTTGTCTCCCTTTAAATATTATTACCATTTGTAATTCAGTTTAAATTTAGTTTTAGAGTATTAGTTTCGAACTGGCTAGGGTCAAATTTAAAAATAAAAAATCAAATTTAAAATTATATCAGATAGTGGAGCTTCAAAATATCTAAATGTGCTATATTTCAAGTTTCAGTGCTTAGAATCGCGTTTCAAATAATTGGGAAAAAATGCGGGAAAACACATCATGTAATATAATATTATTTGTAAATAATGTCGTCATCTCCTGTTCAAGAAAATTTCTATTTAATCAAGGTCAAGTTTTCAGAATTGAACAAAAATGGTAAAAAGA